TGGCGCGGCCCCAGGTGAGGGGGATGGTGGGCTGAGGAGCCCTGGTTGGAATCGGGGACCTCGGGGCTGAGGCCAGTGTGATGGCACGCTGGGGTGGCATGGGTGGCTTGTGTGCCTTGGTGTCAGAGACGCTCCCGCCGATCTGCACAATTGCTTGTGAGCGCTAAAGCCAGCCCCAGTCATGGGGACACAGGAGAAGGCACTGGGACACAGCCCAGACCCCAGGCCCAGCCTTCCGTAGCCCCAGGCAGGGTGATGATAACGGGATCTTGAAGGCCTGGGGGTTCTGGGCAGGCGCTGGCAGACAGGATGGAGGGTGGTACTTGCTGTGGGGGTTGTGGCAGGCTGGGCCCCTCAGTGCCCGGTTCATACTGTGCGTCATCACCGTCCTCACTGTGTGAGGGGCCCAGATTTGGGGGCCTGGCTCCAGGGAGCGCTTGGTGCTGGCACTGCCAGGAGGTAGGCATGGCCAAAGAGGTGCTGAGGCCTTTCTGGGGAGCCCCAGGGCCCCCTGCAAACCCAGAGGCTGGGCTGGACTCCTCCCTGCCCACCCGAGTGGGCCCCTTCACCGTTCCTGTTTCTGACGCTGGGACGGTTGCTGTGAGGCCTGGGTGACCAGCAACAGCAAACCGGGACAGGGAGGTGGAGGCTGACTCCAGGGAGGCCACACTTCCGGGGGATGGTATTGAGGCGAGCAGAGGAGAGAGCCACACGCCTCAACCTCCCAGACCCTTGGCTTCCCAGGGGTGAGGGGTTCCTGTCCTTTCTTTGTACAAGCAAGGATTCCAGGGGTGGCAGCTGCAAGGCTGGGGCCCTGGGCTGGGAGGGTCCCTGCATGGGGTGCTGGGGTCCCGGAGTCTCCCAGCTTCCGTGCGACCTGGCCCCTGCATGGCTTGGCTGGGTCTGAGCGGAGGCTTCTCCTCTCAGAAGCAGGTCCCACGTCACTCCCTGGAGGCCAGTGGCCGGGGGACTGGACACAGAGTTGATGTTTCACCCAGCAGGAGGATGGGCTGCAGGACCCCACCCCCACCATCCTTCAGCAGGTGGACGGACCCCTCCCTTACCCCAGGAACCGCATGGGGTGAGCAGGCGGTGTGGCGTCAGTGCCAGGAGCTCAGCACCCCCTTGGACCAGCCGCACTGCAGCCCTTCAGCCGCAGAACATGCAGGCCAAACCGCTACCCTCCCAGGGCCCAGCTTCCTCCCGCACAGGCACTTTGGGCACGGGTGGGCATGGCAGGGCCTCCTGGGCTCTTACCGTCTCACATGCGTGGAGCCACTGGTCTCTGTGGTTCACGTTCTTGCCACTTGACTAGGAAGGGCTTCCCCTTCCAGTGAGGTGGCAGAATCCACACCGTGTCTTCTGTGATATGTTGATGGTTTTTCACTTTCATGTCTTTGATCTGTCTGGAATTATTTTGAGACAGGAAGTGAAACAGGAGCTTGCTCGGAAGGGCCCGCCCCACGCCCGGCCCCCCGCGGCCAGCCCCACGTCTGGGGCTCCTCACTCCGCCCTGTGGATCTCCGTCCGTCCGCACAGTGGAGGCTTCGGGCCCCTCATTCCACTCCTCGGGTCTCCCTTCCCCCGTCCCGGCATTGGTGTCACATCTTTTCATTGGTTTCCAGTGCTGTCATTTACCTGTGGTAAAATGCACCTATTTTAAGTGTGCAGTTTGCTTTTTGACACATAACTGTGACTGCACACCCACCACTGTTGCCCCTAGACCCCCAAGCTCCTGTCCTCCGCCCCCAGCACCCCTTCAACTGCTGTGGCTGGAGCCGCGCTCATGGTCACTTGGGTGCGTGCTCTTTGTGGTGTGCTGTTTGTGAGCCTCGATCTCGTGGTGACAGCTTCTCCTGCGTGTGGGGCTGAGGCGGGCACGGCCTGGTCACACACTCACCATTGACCGTCTGCCAGTTGCTGGCACATGTATCTCCGCCTTCTGGGCAGCTGGATCTGGCTTCACCCCAGCCCCACACCAGCTCCCAGTGGACCCTGAGCCACCTCCTCTCCGCCCTGGACAGCATGCAGCTCCCTTGGCTGGGCTGTGTGGGATTCAGGGGAAGCAGCCCTCATAGGAGGACCTAGTAAGGTGTGTGTTCCAGACACCTGCTTGGGATTTTGATTGAGGTGATAGGAAACCTTTGCTGTGGCATAGGGACAGCTGGCGTCTTCCCAGCACCAAGTGCCCTCCAGGCTGGCTCATGCCCTCGAGGGCCTCTGCCCTCACTCTCCCAGGTTTTAGCAGGTTAGAGAGCTGTGAGTCTTGCGTGCTTAGCAGCCAACTTTCTAAGTCCCTTTTTATTGTTTTAACCCTCAGAGTCACAGATCAGGGGGACAGACAGGCACACGGCCCCCGTCTCCCAGACACCCAGCCTCTGAGTCAGATGTTCCCACGCCCTGGCCACTCACAGCCACGCTCCCTTGAGGCAAGCCTGGCCCATCCCTCCCTGGTCACAGCAAAGCTGTTTATTTTATTACCTTTGTCATTGTTGTATTTCAGTTACTAAGTATTACCAGAATTCGGTCTCCTTTGTTAAGAACTTAAAATATCAGAGTTTATGCCAAGTCTTCTGTGTCCCCCTCCCTCACCATCCCCAGAGGGGACTACCATCTCCTGGTGGACACGTGACCTCCAACCCTTTCAGAGTTTTAACCAACATAGACACTGACACATGTACACCTACATAAACACACACGTGATACTCATGTATATAAACGCCCACGCACACACAGCAATCCATGTACACACACCCGACTGCGTGTGCCCACGTACACATACCCGAGAGTGCATGTGCTCACATACCTTAGTGCACGCATGTACACTCAGGGCCCGAGTGTGCCCGCACCTGAGGGTGTGCCCAGGTACACGTAACCAAGAGTACACATACACATACCTGAGAGTGTGCCCCCAGACACAGGCACATATGTCCAGACGCCACGATAGCTCTTTGCAATGGCTTCCTCCACGCAGTGCCTACATCTCTCCAGGGTACACACTGCAGTGTGGGTCAAGCTCAAAAGCCGTGCCGTGAGAGCAGCCAATCACAGCCGGCACTGGGAGCTCGGCCGGCCCCAGGTGCATAGCAAGGTGTCCTGCGGCCTTGTGGAGCCACATCTCCGGAGTTCAGAAAGGACAGCTCTGTAGAGACAGAAAGGGATTTGTGGTTTCCCAAGGTTGGGGTGATGGCTGGAGCTCAGGGTTTCTTTTGGGGGTGATGAAAATGTTCTCTAATTGATCGTGATGACAGATGCATCACTGTGAATGCACTAAACAGCCGTGAGTTGTGTTAAATGGGTGAGTTGTATGGTACGTGAATTCTATCTCAAGTCTGAGTCCGTGGCAGTTGCTCTGGCCCAGTACCCACCCCGGACGGTGCTAGAGGCCCCAGGTCCAAGGTCAGGGCATGGCACATTCTCTGGTGAGGACTTCCTGGTTCACATGGTGGAAGGGGTGAGGCAGCTCTCTGGGGCCTTTATAAAGCACTGGTCCTGCTCATGACCTCATCACCCTTCACCTCCTGATGCCATCACCTGGGGGGTAAGGACTTCAACATGTGAATTCCAGGCAGACAGAAACGTTCAGTCCACAACTCAATGAAGCTGTCTAACAAAAACAAAAAAGAAGGAGCTGTGAGAAAAGATCTATTTAAGGTTGTTCTTACCAAGTTCATTCCGGTAAACTGCCGTGAAGCCCTTCAGAGCATGGGCCCCGCCCCCCCCATCAGTGGCCACAGGCCACGTTCTCACCCTGGCCACCTGCATGTGGCCACTGCCCATTCACACCCCCGCGAGTGCTGAGTGAGTTTCTCTGGAAGAGACGGAGTGGAGTGGCGCAGCTGCTGTGATCTGAGGGCGCCCCACACCGCCCGGACACTGTCCCTTGAGGGTGCCCCACACCGCCTGGATGCTCTGCCCCTCCGAGGGCGCCCCACACCGCCCGGACGCTCTGCCCCTCTGAGGGCGCCCCACACCGCCCGGACACTGCCCCTTCTGAGGGCGCCCCACACCGCCCGGACGCTCAGCCCCTCCGAGGGCGCCCCACACCGCCCGGACGCTCTGCCCCTCTGAGGGCGCCCCACACCGCCC